GTCATCTTTCTCATGTCGCCTGCGTCATCTTTCTCATGTCGCCTGCGTCATCTTTCTCATGTCGCCTGCGTCATCTTTCTCATGTCGCCTGCGTCATCTTTCTCATGTCGCCTGCGTCATCTTTCTCATGTCGCCTGCGTCATCTTTTCTCGTCTTTTACCGACACAGACCCACGCAGGTGGGGGCAGCCTAGCTTCGCTGCTTCTCGGGCAACCTCCACTGTGTACCTTCACACTACTGCCACTCCGACTCTACGTATTAACGAGAAGTACAAGGCCGTCCGTATCGTCGTCCCCGTCTACGACCCCCCCCCCCTCCGGCTCCTCCACGTGCGTGCGTGTCTGTAACACATGCGCGAATGTAGCTCCCCCCCCGCCCGGGCGCACGCGCACATCGATTGATATTGAAGACGCGTGTGGTAGACGTAACGCTGACTGCCCGTGATCGCGTGGGAAGAGCCGTGACCCACAAAGAGGCGCGCTGTTGTCGGAGAGCGACCCGCACTTGAATGAAGATAACTTTATGACAGTGGGGAGATTAACTGCCGGTTAAGTACTGCTCTCGCCTGGACGACCCCCTTCGCAGTTCCAGCGGCTGGCGTTCGGTTACCAGATAGCGGACTGGCGGCAGTCTACGGTTCCGCCACCACGTAACCTGTTCGCCGCTGCCGTCTTCGCTCGATAGTCGCTAGTCGAGTTTTTAGGATGCAGGATAGAGACGATCGGCAGAAGCACTCTGCAGGTCGGAGCTCCGCTTACGAAAGTCCTGATTCGTCGTCGCGAAATGCGCGCTCATGAGCGAAGCCGCCTGATTCGTCGACACGAAACGCGCACTCGCGAGCGAAGCCGCCTGATTCGTCGTCGCGAAAACGCGCGCTCACGAGCGAAGCCGCCTGATTCGTTGTCGTGAAGCGCGCTCGCGAGCGAAGCCGCCTGATTCGTCGTCGTGAAACGCGCACCCGCGAGCGAAGCCGCCTGATTCGTCGTCGTGAAACGCGCACCCGCGGGCAAAGGAGAAGGGAGTGGGTGACTGAGCTACGGAAAGATGCGTTACGCGCGCGTCTCCGTGCACTTCAATTTGGTTGGTTCGTTGTGTGTGTATCAGTGTGTGTGTGTGTGTAAACGTGTGTGTGTGTAAGTGTGTAAAAGTGTGTGTGTGTGTGTAAGTGTGTGTGTGTAAGTGCGTTCAATTTCCTGAACGAAGCCTTTCCGTTACAAGCTTGACTTTGTCTTGCTTCAGTACACGTACGACAGGTGGGCGGAAAATGGGTGCGAATGCAGCAATTGGCTTGCTATGTCTAGCTATTCAGCAGCGGAAACTACTGCATCGACGAGCGCCGAGAGTTAACGAGCTTGTTTTCGCTCTCGGCGACGGGAATTTAACAACCTGGCAACCGCCGATTTCATCATCGTAAATCTGTCCGAGAGTTCTCTCGATGCCGTTAATCGCGCGTTTTTCTTGCGCGCGTTATCAACGTGCGGAAATGTCCGTTGTTTATCGGCGTAGACCGCACATCTCGCTAATGAGTTTACCGGGGTTCGATGAACGTGCTCCGCGGTCGTCCCAAGACTCAGCCGTCTGCAACGTTACCGGTGGCTTGTTTTAGAGCGGTTCTCGTAGTTAATTTTTTGGCTTTAGCATAGAGATACATCTCATCGGGAGTGAATAATAATAGATCTATA